CTCTTCTACTCAACTACCCCTTCTGGTCATCTGTTAGACAAAGACACAAGTGGAGAACAGTGTACCAACCATAAGCAGCTTCCCCATGCTTCTAGCAGAGTTGAAGGGTAAGAACTGGGAGAGATGGGTGACACTGGAAAGGGAAGTCAAAATCCAGGTCTCCTTCCAGCCTATACAATCTCCCTCCAGCAGCAAGCACAGAAAACTTCCTCCAGTCTGCAGCTAAAGTCTCCTTCTGGCAGAATAATGCACTGTACTGATAAGCCCCAAGAAATCCAGTCCTGCTTTCTTCTCATGACATAACCCCCACTCTGCACAGCAATTACAGTCAGAATACTAATGGTACTTATATTGCATTATTTAACAACACAGCATTTATTAATTATCTAATCAACAGGAGCATTAATTAATTAATTAATTAACCAACTACGCTTAGCCTTTTCAAAGCACTTTATATCTTCAAGGCACTCCCAGACAATATCTAATTAAGGACAAGGCTCAGAAGAGCTTTTCCCACTGGCACGTCCCTTGGGACTGTTCTGGATCCCGGGATCTCACAGGACATGGCATGCTCTCATGCGTCAATGGCAAACCTTCCATTCACTTCACCGGGAGTCTCATGGTGCCACTGATGCCAAAGAGCCAGGACTGTACATTATTTTTTATCGCCCCACCCTCCTTGTTCTGGTTCTGTCACTACCTTAACAAAAGACATTTATTCCTGCTTCGATATTTCTCTGGACGCTTACAGAAGCAGTAAAAATGTGATATAATTATTGAATAATCTGATGTGTGACTACTTGAACATTTTATCACTGATACCCACAGAGTCTTCATTTCTCAGCCAGTTGAGGATGTCATTCTCAGTTATTTGTCTGAACTCTGCCTTTCAGTGGAAGGAAGAGTGTGTTAGAGCAGATTATAAAATGTCACGCCAGATTGTTTTAAGGGAGCCGGTGATTTCAGTCTATCAGTCAAACTCGCACTACCTAAGTGCCTTTCCCATAAGCACCCAGGATGCTGCACAATGTCAATAGACAATAGAAACACACGGGTTTCATGTTTTGCTTTGCAAGTGGACAGTGGCTCTGAAGCTTTAAAAATAAAAGAATTGAATTTCAGGACCAAGGAGAATAATATGCATGGGATTAAGAAGACAGCATCTGTATGAACAAACAAACTCTAAAGCCTTTGGATGCTGAAAAAGAGTGATCTGACAAATAAGGAGCAAAGGGCAAAAGCAACGTTGAGTAAACCGTCGTAAAGCATCATCAGCACTTAATTAAAATTAACCCACTGATTTATTAGTAGACAATCAAACTATTTGAAGGGATGAACCAAAGGCCACTGAAGTCAATAGATGCTTTTCCAATGACTTTTCAATGGGTTTGGATCAGGCTTTTAATGGGAGCAATGTGATTAAAAAAACCTTAAACCCTCGCTGAAGAATATTGTACTAACCACAAACAAGAGAATTAACCAAATGATATGCAAACAAAATATTGCACTGGTCAGATGAGAAGGAAAAGGAAGTATAGATTGGCATTTCTGCACAGGTCTCGTGTCTCAGTCTGGCTGGATTCCCGAGCAGATTAAAGTTTTAAAAGGTAGCTGCTATAAAAAAGCTAGCTGTCTACCATGGGAGCCCTCTCCTGAACTGTGAAAAGGTCACCTATTACAGATATGAATTTAGTTCTTTGTTAAATTATTGTATTCAGCAGGATTTGATTCAAACGTTTTGGCATTGGATTTTTGTATGGGGATGTTGGACTGTGGACCACTATCAGTACTGTTATTTTCTGTGTCCAAAACACTCTCCAATCGTGCTAGTGGAGTTTTAGACCAGTATTCTAGAATACTGTGGTTTTATTTGTAAAGTGTTATATAAGATAGCTACCTGAGATAAAACGTCCTATTCATCCCTGGTATAATTTCATTAAAGCCACTGATGAATCAGGCCCTTATGGACAAATTCAACACCCACTCACCGGGCTGCCAAATATCATGCATCTCACATGATATCATGCATCTCACACGTATTTGGTACCCCACAGTGCAGCCTCGCAGAGATGTCACGCTTTCAGTTGAGCTTCAGGATCTCTGTAGTTGTGGCTACCAGCCACTGGGGCAACTGCTGAGCAGCCCTCTGGGTGGTCTTTCTGGCTCCTCCCTGGCTGCTCCCCTTATTGGATCTCAGTGGGGAATAGGCAGCTGGGAAGAGAAGGCAGCAGCAAAACAAGCAGAAGTGGGTGGGGCAGAAGGTGAGGGTCCAACATGGAGTCCAGACTCCCCTAGCCACCCTTCCCCAGCCTTAGTCACCCCAGACATCCTCAGACAGCATTTTCCACCTATCCCCCTATTCAGCTCCCAGTTATCCCCCATCCCCTTGATCCAGAGACACTGGACACCCCCACTCAGGCACCTACCCAACAATCAGTCACCCACACCCAGGTACCCCAGCACCATTCACCATCTATCCCCCCATCCAGCTCCTAGTGATCCTCCATCCCCTCTACCCAGAGACCCATAGACACTGGACACCCCCACCCAGGCTCCCACCCAACCATCAGTCACCCCCACCCAGCTACCGCAGCACCATTCACCATCTATCCCCCCATCCAACTCCTCCTAGTGATCCTCCGTCTCCTCTACCCAGGTACCTGTAGACACCAGACACACCCACTGAGATTCCCACCCATTCACCAATCAGCCCTACCCAGCCACCTCCAGATACCAATTGCCCATATTTCCACCAAGCCGCCAGTTGCCTCCCTCCAGACAGCCACTCCAGGCACTCCCACCAGCCTTCCACCCAGCCACCAGATATCCCCACCCAGCTATCCCTTCAAACAGCTTCTATCCATTACCTAGCAACCCCCAGAACCCCCGGCACCCACCAATCCCCCAGACGCATGCCAGAATGCTCATTACAGCTGCCAAGTTTTGAGCAGTTCCATATCCCATCCCCATTGACAGGGTCTGTTGACTATAAGATGAAGTTTAGGGTTACATGCAAATTATTTACAATCATACAAATTAAGTTGTTAATTTCTGTAAGATGTCAGACATGGAGCAGTGCAACACGTGGCAGCTCTGATCACTGATGTCATTGAAAAGTCTCCCATTGTCTACAATGGACATTGGATCAGGCCCTGAGATTATATATTTTAACAAACATATAATTAAGCCTTTGCATAAGGAGGATTCAAATAACTGCCAAGTATCAAGGTAGCTCCATTTCTATTTAGAGCATAATGCTGTCACATGACCTGCCTCTAGCCAGTTTTGTAGTTACATTTGCTATGCATCTGTACATCATTTCCCACCCATGATGCCTTTGAGGAAAACATTCTGAGATGCTTCCGGATTGGGTCAGTTTCCAACATTGGAATCCTGTTGGGTGCAGCTCAAGATGTGAGCCAAACAACATCAGCGATTCTTAAAGACACTGCCAAGATTAAAATCAGACATTTGAAAAACAAATCTCTACCTATTGAATGATGATAACACAATTTAGATGATTTCATCAGCAAGAATATTAACCTAATTTACACTTGTTTAGATTTTGTTTTTCATTCAGCTCCCACAATGAAGGTAGCCTGGTCTATTTAATCAACTTCATATTTTTCCCTCACTTTGGTTATCCTACACCAAGACAATACTACTGAAGATGGGGTTAGCATCTGCTTAGTTTCACCAAACTGTATGGCAATTTTTGTTGCACAAAATAATCTCTCTGTGTGAGGTCTGTACGCAATACATCCCTGGACATGTACATGTACAGTGTGTATAGATTTTACAGCTGATAATAACTACATTAAATCTCCTCAGGGCTTCCTCTAGTCAGAAGGAAAAAACTCTACTTCTGTGCCAACATCTTGGTGCACTGTTTGCATATTATTAACCCTAGGAGTTTGGCCTGCATACGGAGTACTAGGTTGGTCACTTTGTAAACTGTAATACAAAACAACACAAACTGTAACCAAAGTCAAAAACATCAGTAGTACATTCTGATTCCGTTTGCAGAAGCACAATTCTTTAGTAAGTGCCAGAAAATGTCAACTTAACTTCTGTCAGAGAATCATATTTGTTAGAGATAGAAAGTATTATTCAAGTCATCTACTCCAGCATCAGTGATTTCCCTAATGCTGTTCTGGTGACTAACCCTAATTTATATTTTGTCAAGTACTTTTAGATCTATGGCATATTATGCTAATTATTACACGACAGGTGCAATTCCATTGGGCCAGGTTCACTGAACCAGATTCGCTGAACCTGGAACTGGGCCATTTATTTCTCGGCACCAACTTGGATGTACCTGACCCCCAGGGGGATTTGCTCAAGGGAAGGCAGATGGTGTTCTTGAAGATAGACTCCCTCTATTCTGCTAGGGGGTGTGGTTGCTCTACATCCCATCGGCAGAGGCTGGGAAGGAGATGGGGTGATCATCTTCTTAGACAGTGCCACCACTTTTTGGACTGTGCTGTCCCTTATAGATCCTCAGTAAACAGGAGGTTAGTGTGGCTTTTGGCCATCACAACATCAGGGGATGGTGTAGAGGTGTAGGCAAGGAGAAGCTGCCTACGTAGGATGGCATAAACCTTGGGATTAATTTAGCTGAGGCAGATATATTAGGGATGAATTTTAGCCATGGAGTCCACATGCATTACCTTAGCTAAATTATCCCTTCATATGAGACAGATTCTTCACCCTCATTTAAAGCTTAAGATTCAAAGTATTTCTGAGAATGATATTTTCATGTAACAACTCCCCAAATTCATACTGTGCTTCTTTTGCAATATTTGGATAGGTAACTTGAGCAACAGGGAAAAAGAAAGTATGTGAGGGGAAAACAACGATTAATTAATAATAGCGGATGCAACCATCTGTTGGAATAGATTAGGCCTTGATTATAAACTGCAAAAATGGGCAATATTTGCCTATAAAAGTTATCTAAATATACTAAGCAAGCCTACCCAGTCCCCTCCCAGATCTCTCACCTTTGTGGTCCACAACTTGACTGTCCAGTCAAATGATGATGTGACAAAGAGATGGGAAAAGTCGATTGGGCCCACTGCCATGTGGCAATTGATCCCCGTGACAGGTCCTTGGTGGCCTTCAAAGATTTCACCAATTCCTGCTTTACTGCAGAAAGAAGATACACACACTAACATTCAGGGACTTTTGAATACTAGGCTTTTTTCTTTATCTTCAAGTTCTTGTCTCACTGTTTCCCTAGTAAACTACCATGCAATCTGTAAAAAACAGCATCTTTCAGTTTGGGCTTTGTCTCTAAGGACGTGCTGCTGTGGGCACAATTCATGCACTGGGGTGGCCAGAACTCCACTTACTGAGACTTCCTTACTCTGCAGAATACATCCATACGTGACACTCACATACAGTATCAACTATACTGTGCTTTAGAATAATATGAATAATAATAAAGGAAGACTCACAGAGCCAAATAAATCAGAGTGAGCCATTATCATGGGAATTAGCCATTAAAATTCAAAATGCATAAATAAAAATGACACATCATTAGCAACTTCCTTTCTTTCTAAATATCTGAAATAACCTTCTCATGGCAACTGGCCAGTTCACCAAGAAGCAAATCCTATTCATATGACTCAAACTATTCATATGATTAAGGCGAACAGGATTTGTTGTCAAGTCCTATGGGCTAGGTATTGGTTTGAAAGAAAAGATTTCCATTTCAGAGGAACATAGAACTGGAAGGGAGATCTCCTGGGTCATCATGTCCAGTCCCCCGCTCTCGGAGGCAACTCCGTTATCTAATCCCATTCATAAACTTATCAAGCTCCATTTTTATTACATGAAATGGAGATCACATGAGGAAAGATCAGAACAGCTATAAAGAAGGAAAACATGTAGATCTTCATTAGAGAGCGTACGCGTAGTGCGTTACTCACTCTGTTAACAACCAGCCCGAATCAACTTACTGCACTGCCCCACCATACAAAGAAAAGAGAATAATAACATCTCCCCTTCAGTCACATGGATACATACACCAGAAAAGGAACAAACTCATTCAAAATATCACCGGCTCTAACACAGCCGCAAAGTCCATGCAGTCTTACCCTTTCTCAGTAGGACCAGAGTAAGAGCAGCCAGAGGGCAAGGCCAAGAACTGTATTAGAAGGAACCTTTCCAGGCTCTCTCCTCAAACAGCCCTATCAGCCATGGCAACATGGCTGAACCAGTAGCTGCATTGCCATTGGCTATCAGCCAGTGGTTGAATTCTGCAATACCTCTGAGGAAGCACTGATTTACCGCCAGTCTTATTGTGGTCTTTTCTCCAGCCCTCCTTTCTTTTTTCCACACAGCTAATGGGCTGCATGGATATTTTATAGCTAGGTTCTGGGGATGTGGGGAGAGTGACTTGCATAGCTGTTTTTCCTAGATGCAGCTTTCTCCAAAATTTTGCTCCCCTCTGCACTATGCTGTGTTGGAGAGCATTGAGGACCTATGAAAATAAAATGCAGTTTGGGAATGATTCCCAATAGAACACAGGCAAAAATGGCAAAGAAGCAAGAATAGCAAGAGCAGCTGACACTTTCCTCCTCTGGTGGGGGACAAAACAGGTACATCTGAAAGATGACAAGTGCTAAATTAGAAATGACCTTGGGCAGCTTTCACTTATCCAGACAGCCAAAGATTAATTCAAACCATCAGTCACTCCATCACTATAACCCCTAGATAGAGACATTGAGTGTTGCTGTACTATCAGCAAAAAAGCGAAAATAATCCTTTAAAAATGTACGACTATTTGTTTAATAGTATGAATATGTAACAGAGGGCCCATTCTTTAAACACCGCATCAACATTAAGGAAAATTATTTGGACATTAGAATTATAGAAAACAACAACATGTGAAGCTACATCACCCCAATATATTTCAAAGTGTTGAATAAAACACCGATGGAAAGCTGAAGAGCTTGTTCTTTACAAGAGGCTCTCAAGAACGCTGCACAATGAAAGTGTTAGCAGTTAACACAAGCACACAAGATGGCTGAGACTCATTTTAATGAACATGAGGAACTGATCTTTGAAGTGCCCCTGGGGAGATTCCTCTGGCTGCTAACAGCATCCTGAAATAGTTTACAGGGTGCAAAATAAGGAACTCGTTTAAATTATGGAAGTGGATTTACACCTTCATCACATTGGTGAAGAATAGGAGATCATTGTTAGAGTGTACATAGCACCAAGGCTCTCCTCTGATCTAATACTTGGAGTCATAGTTCATACTTTGAAAGATCAGTGCATTGGGTAGATTCCCTATAATGCGAGAGAACATTCTAATGGGCAGTCTTTACACTGTGGTTAAGAAAGCCTCACTTTCCCATGAAGATCGTTAATGGCCCGATCCTGTGCTGCTTACTGAGGCAAAACTACCATAGAAGTCAATGGGAGTACAGGTTGCAGGATCAGACCCCTAACCAACAACAATACATTTTGGGCGACATTTTGTCCTGCGTTACGCAGGTGCACTCCTGAGAAGATGCAGTAGGAAGCTTCTCCCCAGTGTAACCTGCTAGAAAAAGGCAGGCTGAAGATGTCATGCAAGGAAGTTCTAGGCTGAGGAGGAGCAGTTAGCCACCTTTGGGTTGCGTACAGACCCCCAGCACACGTGAGGCGCTAGGTGGGAGACATGCACAATGCTTTTGCTTTAAGAAATGGTGAGGAGTGCTGCTGAATGTTCTGTCTCAACGTTCCAGGAGCCATTCTGCCCTGTGCAGGCAGAATAGCTCTGAGACCCTTCTGCGGGCTGCTGCCATTCTGCCCTCTTCTGTCCCCACCCCTAGACTCAGAGGAGCAAGGTCAGAATTTTGCCCTTTAACAGACTATATCTCTACCTGCTATTAACAAGAGTCTGGAGGTGTAACTGAACAAACAAGGTGGGCTGACTCTCCAGAGTGGAGACCTACGAAGAAGCTAAGGGTTATGAACATTGGGTGAGGTGTGTGTGGGGGGGGAAGGGCGCGTTATATCCTACTCTCGTGATTAATTTAGATCTGAATACCCTAAAACGAAACTATCAGTAATGGTGTAAAACTACAGAACCCGAACAGTGCTGATAATAATAGACCAACCCAAGAGGCTGATTGTTCTCCATAACACCCTAGCACCCGCCTCGCCCCCTAGAGACAGAAACAGGATATGCTGCAAGTAAGCAGTACTGAAAATCACCTTCCATGACGACAAGCCGTGTAGACGGTACCCTCCTCGCTGCCAACCACGAAGTTGTTGACGTCTCCTGTTGGGAAAGCCATTCCTGTAACTGCCACCGGCTTGGATTTATTGTAGGACAGCTCCATGCTCTCCTACCAAAACAGGACAGAGTTATTTTTTTGTTTTTGTTTTTCACCAATTGTTTTCTAAATGTGTCACAGGAAAAAAAAATCATTTGGCTAAATGACGTGTTGATTTTGCATAGGGCATTACAAGAAGCCACCATAATGTCACCAATCATGATGCTTGATACTGCCATTCACATGGCTGCATATCCCAGGTTCCAAAGCAGCTAGAATTCATCAGTGTGTGCTACATCTTTTTAAGTCAGACAGAGATGACAGGTGAGAATTTAAAAACTAATGGTGTAGAAACTAAAGATAATACCTTAATGGCTTCACTTGTCAGCCCCAGGCTCTAATAAAACATACAATACCCTTCTATTTACAAACATTCTTGAAATCAATTGTTTACCGAGAAACACAAGTAATATCAGATACACCCCGCACACTTACCAAACTATGCCATTTGTACCTCAGTAGAACCGATTTAGAAAGTTCGGGTCATGTCACCATTGCCATTCTAAACAGCATTTTTCAAGGGGTTGCTATAGCAACCATAAACACTCACTCTGGGTTCTATTGTCAAGTTGCAAGCATGTGAGCATATTTTCTTTCACTTTCCCTCGCCACACTTCAAACCAAATAAGCTGTGTCCATGTTTTGAAGTAACATGAGTGTGGATACTCTATTTTATTAGCATATAGTTTAAGCGGATTATTTTTTGCACATATATAACTCAAAACCACTTGCTTTTGAAGCTTAAATTGTGTAACTCAAGAATCCACAATGCAGATGATGGATTTAGCAATTTTCATTTATAGCTATTTAGCCTGGTATTTTTTCCCTTTTCAAAATTCCTAAGTCACTGGTCTTTTAGGGCCCAATCCTGTAGCCTTCCCTTGCAGGAGAAGTCTTACTGAAGTCTGATGGGAGTAAAGGCTGCAGAATCAGCTCTATGGTATTCCTTACTAGCTGGAATATATCCTCCCATGAAAAACATTTGCCTCTGTTAAAAGAGCCAAAACAAAAACTAGCAAATTCATAGATATTTGAATGTGGAGCAAATATGCATGTGCTTGTGTGGGTGCAAATCTTCATAGGGCAGATCCTCAGCTGGTGTCTACATGGAGCTCTCACTTTAATGGAACGATGACAATTGACATCAGCTGAGCATCTGCCCCCATCAGGGGCGGCTCTATGTATTTTGTCACCCCAAGCACGGCAGTCAGGCAGCCTTCGGTGGCGTGCCTGCGGGAGGTCCGCTGGTAACGCAGATTTGGCGGCATGCTTGCGGGAGGTCCGCCGGTCCCGCGCCTTCGACTTACCTACCGCCGAAACCGCGGGGCCGGCGGACCTCCCGCAGCCTGACTGCCGCCCTCACAGCGACCGGCAGGCCGCACCCCGCGGCTTGCGGCCCCAGGCACGCGCTTGGTGCGCTGGTGCGTGGAGCTGACCCTGGCCCCCATATGTACAACTGTCACCCGGTGGCCAGACACACCAATGCTTCTTTGAAAATCTGGCTCCATATTTCTAGAAGGTTTAAGACTGTGAGACAAACCAGCAAAAGCCATGAAATTCCAAGCTGAGGCTAGCACCTTGACTTCAAGTTGCATGCTTTTCTTTGCAACAGCAGCATAAGTTCAGTATAGGATCTCTGACTCAATGTAGAATGTACCATGTTGTTGGAACCCAATTCTGGAGCTGCAGTATGCATGGACATCCCATGTAAGTGGAGAGGTTACAGAATGGGGGTATTCACAAACCCTTGTGTCACAACTGTAGCACTGTGCTGTGCTAATGCATTTTGTGTCAATAACTAATATTAAAACCAAACAACTCATATGTATCTGCACAGGAGTGAAACTAGTATAAATGTTCATTTCAGAGAAATTTCTACTAGCTATTTTAAAACAAGATTACACAACTGTCGTGATCTATCTCATGAACGCAGTGTTGTTGTAGCCATATGGGTCCCGGGATATTAGAGACACAAGTTGAGGTAATATCTTTTATTGGACCAACTCCTCTTGGTGAGAAAGACGAGCTTTGAGTTAGTTTCCCTGACCTGAAGAAGAGCTGTGTGTAAGCTCGAAAGCTTGTCTCTCTCACCAACAGAAGTTGGTCCAATAAAAGATAGTACCTCATCCACCTGGTGATGTATCTCACACATTTTAATGAAACCCAGTAATAAAACATCCTTCTTCCCAGTAAACAGAAGAAAGGGATGTATTGGACTACAAACAGATTTAAACAAGCCTCTCCAAAGGTCTCTTTCAGCATCAGTTTTGTTGCTTAGTTTCCATTACTATAATCACGAGTGGTTTGGAAAAATTTCCTGGATTTCCTTTCATTTCCAATACAAAAAGGTGTGTGTGTGTATGTGTGTGTGAGTGTGTGATGGGGAGCCAGTAACAACAAACATTCTGGGGTGGGGGAAATATTTCTAAAACTTTTGATTTGCATAGTTTGTTCCCTTGGTTACTGAATTCATGAACAAGCTAAGCTTTCCTACTTGTGGGATACCGTATCTTGGAGACATATAACTGGGTCGAGTGTGTTCTGCAGCAGTGCAATCTAGTCCATATTTGTTAAACAATCTAGAGTAAGTGCAATTTGTACCACAGGCGACTTCTATAATTACTGTGCTTTAAAATGGATTATTTCATTTTCACTTGAAACTGACCTACATATTAACATATTACAATAATTACATGATTTGTGGTAAAGGAAATGGGTTTTGGCTCTTACAGAAGACTGCTGGAAGCAAGCTGCACTCTTTCAAGTGCATCCATTGGTTTTAGTTTGTGTAGGATATGAAGTTTTGGCTTTTAGGAACTATGTTCCATTAAGCAGGTATCTGCTTTAACCATGATGTTTTCTTCTTGTGTAGGTGAAAACAAACCCACCTGTGGTGTTGAGAGCATATCCAGGCTCCAGGAGCACATTTTGCCATCTGTAGAAACTGTAATGAGATTGTGCGCATTCTGTGTTCCAACTACATTTACACAGTATACAGGATGCTGAAAATACATGAACACCAGGAATCAGAGAGTGCATTCTCACTTTTCAAAACCAAATTTCAATTTCAAATGTCAGAAATGTTGATTTAAGAAAGGATTAAACAGTCACATACTGCCAGCATAATACAGCGCTCATCTACTTGCCAGATAGGAATTTAATTTGCTTTTGGTTGGAACTTTAAAGGCACATTATGGTGGTGGAAGTTCAAAGATTAATTTTACTCCATCGTAAAACAACCTGAGTAATGCTGTGAAAACGTTGAATTCTGTGGATGAGATTTCACCCACAGGGACACGTCTGATTCTGCTGATAGCTTTTGATGCTGAAAATGACTGGCAGAGAGAAGCAAACCTTCCAAATGGAATGAAAATGTAGATTTTATTGGAGAAAACAGCTGCACAAGACTTGGACTTTGCCACAGTTTGGCTGCTATGCCAAATATTTTCAAATGTACTTCAATGGAAAAAATATGAACAAATCCACCAGCCTTCTTAATCATGAGCCAATTAATGTACTCCGATATATCAAAGGAAATTGGGAGTGACTCCACTAACCTATGGAGTTAGTCAAGATTTACACCAGTGAAACTGAGAGCAAAATTTGGTCCACAGGCATTAAATGTGTCCATTTAACATGTTAGGATGTACACGGTACTTTTATTCTCAGGCATCGATACTTTGGGCTCCAAGTTATCATCTGACATCTGTTTGATGGCCCATGGGAAACGAGGTGCTGCTCCAAGCTCAGTTTCTAGTGGCCAAGTGTTCTCATCACCAAACCACTGTCACAACCGAGCACCCTTAGCAGCACTCTTCAAAGAATGGCCAGTGAGAATGAACTACCCTTTAGCCAGTACAGGTGGTCTGTCCAGATCAAGGATAACATGCATAGCTGTAGGGCAGTGTTGGGAAACTTGCACTGCTACTGTCTATTCAGTGCTATTTTTGTGGATAAAGAGAAGACTTTGGTCTCTAGAAATGGAAACTTTTCACTTTTCACTAGCACTACATTTAATTAAAGAAAATTAATTAAGGGCCAAATTTACTAGTGGCCTCAACTCAGCTCCCATCTATATTCATCCAAGTGAAGACAATCACTTGTGCACACAATCATTTGTGCATAGAAATGATGGAACTTACGTAAGCAATCCCCAATTAAGGTGTACAGCTCCAATTCCGCTCCCTTTGAAGTGAATGGCAAAACTTCCATTGACTTCAGCGGCGCAGGATCACACCCTATGTGTACAAATTCCATCATTTGTGTGAACAGGTGATAGGATGCTGAAGGCCCGTATGCACAAGTGATTGCCCTTGTGAATTAGTGCTAGTCACAAACAGGCCAGATTTGGAAAATCTGCCCCTAAAGCTACATTAAAAAAAAAAAAAAAACCCTTAGGAAGCGCCCTTCACGTAACCCTTCCTTGTGTACCAATTAACATGGGAATAAAAACTGATGAGCACATATTATTACATGGTAAATTTAGTCTGCTCAGCCTAAGCTGTAATGGGCATTTGTCCTCGTCACAAAACAACCTACAAATTGATAAAGCAGCCCTAAGGCTGGAATTGCAAGGGTGGGAGGAGGATATAGGTCAAATAGGCAGGGAGTGGCCAGACTCATCGGGGGACATATTGCCAGACCAGTGGTACCTTCCTATAGAATGCCTGGCTATAGACAGTGCTGCCAGCTGTCTGTTTCATGAGTAATGAAATTCAAAAGATGTAAACAAAACGAGCAAAAAGGACGACCAACTGTACTTAGCAAAAAGTGTAAATTGGCTCCTTCCTTTCACAGGGGAGATGCCAGCTTGTTTTTATTTATTTTGGAAATGAAATCATCATGCAGGAGTTTTTTGTCTTAATTAAAATTTCCTGTTCTTCCAAATACAGCTGTGTGGTGGGTGTGAAAGGAAATTAGTGAGTAAGCTGTGGTGGGACTCTCTTTCCTGGGCACCAATCAGCGGGAATAAACTCATGGGAATTTTTTAACAATGTTGACAGCATGAGCCATATTTATTCAGCTAACTGAAGAGAGCAGCAATAACTAAACACTTGTTTTCATGGGGAATATTTGTTAAATTAAAAATAAATATTCAAACCAGCACCTAGCTGCCTACTATACAAAAGAATCATTTTCTTGATTCAATATACTCCTTTGCGTTTAACAGCTTAGGGCATGAGCCTGCATTTTGCAAACCAGGACTTAATTTAAATTAGACAAGAATTTTGCCTGTCAGGATTGTAGGAATAGCATTAATTTATGTTTATTCTGAAGCATGATCAAACTCCTTAAAAACATGATTCCATGTTAGCTAGGGGTTTTAAAATGGTTATTTATACTTGTACACGTAGTCACACAATTCACACTTATGAATAAATCCACGTAATCTATTTCTAGTTGTCATAGTCATAATATGATACATTGACCTCTGCTACTGGGAAAACTATCCAAGTTTTAGAATATCATTCCCAGGTGGTATAATTTTGTCTAAAAAATTTATTGAGCACAAGGGAAGAACAAACCTTCCCAGTAATTTTTTCCTCTTCACTAGGTTTTGGACCCCAGTCACTCCATTTTCAATTATATTTACAGTTTCCAGCCTCTAGTTTTCTGGTCTCCAATGTTACTAAATCACCACTTCAAGGCACAGTGTTTTCTTCCACGCAGTTTGAGCAATGTTAGCCCCCCCCCACCCCCGCTTACTATTGACAAAAAGGACACAAACATTAGGGAAATTCAAAGTAATGGTGCAGCTGTGATCCATAGCATAACTGGGGCATTAGAGTCAGACAAAACTGCTGATGGCAGAAATTTGGAGAACTATATTCCTTTCCCTCTTCCAGCCCCCAATAATTTCATACCTGCCATTTTCTAACATAAATGGCAAGGCAGTCATCGTATTTGTGCCAGAGTGAATTTTTGGCACTAAATTATGTTTAACAATTGTTAGATGTTGACTTTTAACCCCAGGGATTACATTGTCACAATAAACTAAAGGCTGAAACTTGAACAGCAAATTACAAAGGTATAATCAGAGAATCACAGAAGTGAGAGGTGGAAAAGATCTACTAGGTCGTCTGATCTATCCCCCTGCCAGCACAGGATCATTTTCTTCCTTTGTCCAGTTCAGTTTCTTTATATTTCAGGTAATCGCCTATTAGAAGTTTATTCCGCAGCCTAAAAGATCTCATCATTAAGAAATTTTCCTGATGTTCAGCCTACATACCCTTTGCTAAAATTCATCCCATTATTCCTGGTTGTTCTCCCTTATGTCACCAGAACAATCCCAACCTAGTTGGGGCTAAATCAGGCATTTAAGCTACTGCCCTGCCCTGCACCACCCCACAATGACTGTGTACAGCTGCTTGGGGTTTCTGTGTGCATGCAATTAACTTCATCCTCATTACGAGAACAGATTGCTCCCACAGTGAGCTGGCTCCAATCCATGGACCAGTACTGAGGGGGCGTGGGGAGGAATCATGAACTCTGCCTTATCCGTATCCCTTTCTGGAGACTTATTCCCCAGGTGGGCATCAGGAGCAAGTTGTCCCTGAACTCCTCACAGCACTGGACCATTATTGTGAGATGCCCTTGTTTGGTTATGCACTGTGGGGAGACTTCCTAAACACCCAACCGCGGGCCAGCCATCACCCTTTGAGCACGTGCAGGAAGCTGTCACCTAGTCTGTTTCCCATCCATTTCCCCCCCTTAAAAATCCATTCTCTTATTTTCTTGCATGTAACAAAAAATACAACATTGTAGAGGTAGCTCAGGCTAAGAGATCTGCACTTCGTGTTGAATGTTTCTTCGCAATGACATTGAGCCTTACCGTGTGAGCAGCAGCCGAAAGGGGTGTACGCTGAACTGGAGTCCTCCTGTGACTGCGATTATCCCACAGGACAATTTGGCCAGAGTATGTTCCACCAACAACCAGGTTGGGGTGAAAACGTGCAAAGCAGACAGACATCACAGAGGACTAGAGCAAAAACAGGGTAGAGAATGAAGGAGAGGGGTCAATTCAATTGTCAGTCATCTGCCTTTCTGTTCCTTAAGAAGCATGTTATAATCAATACTCTCAGGAGTGCAGTCCTGACCCTGTATTCCCTGCGCACCCAGGTCTTTCAGTGAAGACAAAGGGACCCTTGCAAAGAATTCAAGAATGGCCCCAATATTTGTAGTCCCATGGGTCCTGGAGAAAAAGTGAACAGGGCAGGCTTTAGGCACTGGTGATGAGAAACCACCACCTAAGATACCATATGTGAGACGATGATGGGAAAGTGCCTCCCTGGGCTTCTTTAAAAAAAACAAAAAAACCAAAAAAAACCCCAATATTTTCATTTGCCTTGATCCCAGCAGGGAGATCCTTGTCCCCCTTGCAACCCTACAGGGAGATCCTGGATCCCTCCTGCACTACCCCCCTCCAGGAGACTCCTGCCTCCCCTCACTCCCCCACAGGAAGAACCAGGCCCCCACTTGCTTGCCCCTCAATATGTTTACCCTTGCCACTGGCTCCTGTGGCACTCTCCTCACTGGATCACTTTAAAGCAAGGCAAAAGATTCTGGGGTACGTTTGTGAGAGAGTGGATAGCCCCAATCCTTTCCTCATCTGGGGGGACATCTAGCTATAGCCCTGGGGAACACAGTAAGTCAGACAATACCTCTTTATTGGATCAACAAATACATTATACAATACACAGGCTTTGGGGCCAAGAAGGTCCCTTCTGAGTTGCAAAAGGGCTCACTTTCCCTACCACTGTCACTTGGTCTTGCAGGAGCAATATTCCTTAATTTACTGAGGGCTGGATTTACTATTGGGCTGTAGCTGAGGGGGTGTGGAACCAAGACGTGGTACCTCCCAAGCTCCCGATAAGCTGCTCTGCAAGGCACTGTGAAGTTGGGGACATGACTATGGCGTTACTTCCTCTCTGTCCTCTCCAGAATAATGTGCAGCCTCAAGTCTACCAGGGAGCAGTCCCTGCACTCCTCATTTGTGTAAAACAAAGCATCAAGCAAGTTGGACTCTTTTATGGTTCCATTATTCTCTCCTTAAGGAACTATGTTCCATTTCTGATGTCTCTGATTCTGGGTACATAGCCTCCATTTTATGGAAATTGGAAAACAAAAGAATGTTCTGAGATTTCCTATACAATAAAGACTTGGCTTGCAAAAAAAGATGCAAATGTCACTTTCCTCAGACAACCCATGGGAACAAGTTAGTCTAACTGATCGGTTGGTTATCGTTAGAGTGTCAATATGACAGTTAATGGTCACAATTATTTTCTTTTACTTTCAGACTGTTTCATGCTAATGGCAACTGGGAAATTACCAGTAACACACTTATCTGTTATATTTTAATGGTTATTTATTTTAAATTGGTGAGAAATGATAAATTCATCCATTGTATTCAGTAATTAAATGTACATAAATTATCATGCTTCAGTTGCATGAACCGAGCTGCCAACATTAAGGTAAACTTCGTTTAAACAAGTTGGTTGCATAATTAGAGACATAGGAATTGCCATACTGGGTCAGACCCATTGTCCCACCAGTCCAGTGTCCTGTCTTTGACAGTGGCCAGCACCAGATGCTTCAGAGGAAGGTGTCAGAACTTTGCTGTAGGCAAATGTGGCATAACTTGTCTTTCAAATTAGGTCTCATCCTGGTCTCTAATAGTAAGAGATTGGCTTAAAACCTGAAGCGTGAGGTGTAATAAACCTTCCAAAATGTTTATCATTAACTATGACAACTCTGGATAGCCATAATTGGGATGAAATAGAATAAACTGAGCTGTCCCAATTAAACAGTTTCTACTGAACTAACACTGATATATCCAATTTATATTCTATAAAGCTATATAACGTGGCTCTAAAATAATTCAGTAGAAACAGTCGCAATGAATGATAATATATTCTAGGGATGGCCAATCCTATACATTTGACTTAGCTGTCTCCAACACAGTGAAACAGTCTAACACTATCTCCTTCTCCCTAGTTCTCATGGGTGTTCTCCCTGACCTCTTTGACCTCCTTCCTTCTCCACTAAAGCTTTCATGTGGTTCTACGCTGTTATGCTTGCCTGTTTTAGCTCACTTCCAGCTGTGCAGGGAGCATAATTATTTTATGGTCAGTTACAGCATCAAGAATGAAGATTTCATCAATTTCAAAAAGGACTCTTAGGCATATAACTTTATATAAAAATATTCGTAGTACTACAGCATCATGATGCACTTAAAAATCAAGTATGATTCAGCTGCCATGCAACTTTCACAGATCCCCCAGACGTTATAATTAACAGAACCCTACATCACACATTCTACATTTTATCTATTCATTTAATGGCTTTGTGAGTTGTTTTAATCAACCCATCACATACTTTATAACTAAGAAGACAGATCTTCTGACATGCAGTGAAATAGCCAGATGATTTTAAAATAATCTGGTTGAACCGCTGGATGTACACCCACAATGGGTGTAAGGCTACACTTATATTTTAAGAAACCTAAATTCAAACAGTCATTCCACAACAAAGTTCTTAGTTTGTCTGAAACAAACTTGGAGATGCTGAAGCGAGGCAGAGAAACCATGCAGACGGTGTATTTTTAAATGTTGTGTTTTCATGGTTAGAATGTTTTTGAATCCAGAATCCCAGAATACATTTGGATGGTGGAGATATAAACTGCCAAAGTGTGTTTTTCATAAAGTTTGAAAATAACCCTTTGCTATGATTCTGACTTAGAAAAAAAAAACATTGCTTCTAGTTTTACACATCCTTCCAAAGTAACTCACATTTTTCAGCTGATGAAATGTTCATGTCCTTTTAATTATGTCAGTAACATTTTTCCATTGAAGGGAAAATCCTTTCAAATATTAGAATTTACCAATTTAAGGTCCCCATTCTACTGTACCTAATCAGATGATTGTTTCACTGAAGTCAATGGGAGTACCCACATGAGTAAGGGCTGCCTTCATTTAGCTATTTTAAAAACAAAGGGTTCACGTCTTAGCCTTAATAGGAGAGAGCTGCAAGCAGGTCCCCTGACAATTTGAGCAACCCTGTGCTTGAGCAGAGCAGCAGAAATCATTCCCAGTGATCCTCCTCTGCCTCCAGAGTGTATCTTGCTTCCAGACTCAAATACTTGGGGCCTGATCTTGCGCCCACTGAAGTCAGTTTTGCCATTGACTTCAAAGGAGCAGGAACCATCTCATGGTCAGTATTAAAATAATAAACAAATAATAATTAACAATTTGTTGTGCTTCTGCAATATCTTTCAACAGAGAATCTCTAAGCACCTTCTCAACATTAACCAATGGAGCATCCCAACATTTCAATGAAGTAAGTTTCAGCAACCATTGAGCCACCTCTTGTAGATGAATACAGCAGCTAGTTTAATGGCACACCACATCACCACACAAAATTTTAGGGCAGGAAGGCAAGGAGAATACCATACTGAGCTCCCACTGATGGAAGAATTTAGGCTCCCAAAATTACAGAGGAGAGGCTGAGGGAACTGGGATTGTTTAGTCTCCAGAAGAGAAGAATGAGGGGGGATTTGATAGCAGCCTTCAACTACCTGAAGGGGGGTTCCAAAGAGGATGGAGCTCGGCTGTTCTCAGTGGTGGCAGATGACAGAACAAGGAGCAATGGTCTCAAGTTGCAGTGCGGGAGGTCCAGGTTGGATATTAGGAAACACTATTTCACTAGGAGGGTGGTGAAGCACTGGAATGCGTTACCTAGGGAGGTGGTGGAGTCTCCTTCCTTGGAGGTTTTTAAGGCCCGGCTTGACAAAGCCCTGGCTGGGATGATTTAGTTGGGAATTGGTCCTGCTTTGAGCAGGGGGTTGGACTAGATGACCTCTTGAGGTCCCTTCCAACCCTGATATTCTATGATTCTATGATTCTATGAGTCTCCTCTTTCCTCAGTTTGGAATTGGCTGCCTTTTAGTTTTGCTGGATGTCCCCTTGTTCTTGTATTAGAAAACAGGAGGACTAGAATTTCTCAATCAAGGAATTCACACTGCGATCAACAGAAGTCCTGCACAAGATACAAATGCAGAAAAGACAAGATATGAACTGTGGCTACAAGGGGAGATTTCTCCCCTTAACATTCAACAACATACCTACTGAAAGCCATGCCCAGGAAGACCACAGGCTTGTCTACATGAGGAAGTTAGTGTGCAGCAAGCTCTTGTCTGAATTTACAGCATGCGAGCTACTCCAGAGTAACTCTCCATATGGACACCCGTACTGCACATTAGGCTAAAGCGCACAAAAGCACTCTCATCACACACTACGAGTGTCCACATTAGTTAGTGTGAAGTAGCTAGTACAGTGGTTCTCAGCTAGAGGGGGGCCATGAGCAGGTTTCGGGGGGTCTGCCATGCATGTCCAGTGTTAGATTCACTAGGTCCCAGGGCAGAAAGCCAAAGCCTTGCCCAGCTGGCCTGCAGCCTGGGACCCCGAGCCCCAACACCCAGGGATGAAGCTGAAGCCTGAGCAACTTAACTTCGTGGGGCCCCGGGTAATTGCCCTGCTTGCTACCCCTTAATACTGGCCCTGGCTTTTATATGGAGAAAAACAGTTGTTGTGGTACAGGTGGGCCGTGGAGTTTTTATAGCATATTGGGGGGGGGGGGGAAGCTCAGAAAGAAAAAGGTTGAGAACCCCTGAGCTAGTACACTCTAAATTCACACTCTAGCTTGCTATAAACTAACAGACAAACCTTGGGGAGTTTATCTGTGGTCCTCACCTTCCTTAAAATGCCTATGTTGCTTTGCAATATGAAACTGAACTACCCTCCTCTTGATGTTATGTCCACTGAATTCAGTGGAAAACCTGCATTGACTTTAATGGTGCAGGATCTAGACCGGAGCTGAGCAAGGTGGTTTCTTCCTCAAAACACACTTGGCTTTTAACAAATAATAAAAATGCTTGGATAGTATAAGCTAGAAAGATACTGGAAAGTCTCCAGTCTCAAAAGA